TCTCTACAAAGTATTGTCCTGCTTGACCTTTTCACTATAGCCATGAAATGCATAAGAGAGATGGCGGTGAGACCGTGACAACAGGGTCACAGTTGTTGGAGATTGTCTCTGGTCCCTTACTTCAGTGCTTCTCAACATGTCATGTGCATATGATTTACCTGAGGGATCTTGTTAGCATGCACATCCTGATTTGGCAGGTCTAGGTTCTGAGATTCTGCATTTCTATCAAGCTCCAAGATGATGCTGATGCTGCAGGTCTATGGATTGCACTTTTAGTAGTTGGAGATGGAAGAGGTGATGAAAATAATTTGTGAGTCTTCTGCTAGCACAGGTCATGTTTGCCTTTTAGTAAGAATTCAATAGCTGTGTGTGATAAATGTGCAAATTGTCCTGTGGTATCTATGGGGTGTTGGTTCCAGGACTGTCCTTGGATATGGAAACCTATGGGTTCTCAGGTCTCTTATAAAAATGACATAGATTTACAACCTTCTGCACTTCCTCCTGTATACTTTAAACAATCTCTAGGTTACTTCTCATATCTAAGGCAGTGTAAATATGTAATAGTTGTTATACTGTATTGTTTAAGGAATAATAAGAGGAAAGATAATCTATACATGTTCAGTATAGACACTGTGTTTTCCAAATATATTTGATCCATTTTCAGTTGAATCTATAGATGCAAAACCCATGGATAAAGAGGCCTTACTGTATAAATTTAGCTCATTTGCTTCTAAATATTTTTGAGCCAATTGTTGATTAAATTTTTTTATTTGGATTTATTTTGGTGTTTTGTTTGAAGTTCAAAGCCAACTTGATTTTTCCTCAAATAGCTAACCCATTTGTTTTAACATAATTCATTCATTAATCTCTTACTTTCCATAAATTAACGAAACCTCATTTAATCACAGAGTCTTCTTATATAGTCTAGAGACTGCTTCCTGACTATTCTGCATGGCAGGATGGTTGAAGCTTTATCCCATTTTGATGTCTGATGAAACCAGTTCTCCTTTGGTCCTCTTGTTCTTACTGTTATCACCTACTTATGCAGATGAAATTTAATATCAGTTTTTTAATAATAAAAATTATTGTGATTTTTTTATTAAAGGGTATTAAATATACACATTAATTTGAAAAGGGTAAACATTTTTTATTATATTCTTCCTTCTTCAAGAATATAGTAATATGGGAGTTGAATTAAGCCTTGTGGGGGCAGGGTCTTCTGGAGGAGGAGAGGGAGCAGGGTAAAGACAGGTGTCTAGGCAAACTCAGTGAAAATTAGAGTGGCACCACTCATTACCTCCAGTGTTCCCTGTGGTCCAGGTCCTGGACCGAGTGCTCATCTCATTTAATGAGTAATCAACACATCTCATCTCATTTCATCTCACACAACTCTACAAGGTATTTCCAACCCTGTTTCAAGATGAGGAAACTATAGCTCAAAGGGATCAAGTGATTTTTCCTAAGATTACACAGCTTTTAAATACAGAAGGGTTTGACCCCAGATCTTTCTGACTCGAAAGTATGTACTTTGAATGCCCCTACTTCTCCCAATCTCTGTGTCATCACCACAGAGGAATACGACTCACCTCACATCTTCACTCGTGTCCCAGCCTGTGGAGCCACTAATTTATGAATCATCCTCCTATCGATGTGGGAAAAGGGAACATGACAAACCTTGTGCCAGGTCTCAGAGGTTTTGCTTAGAAGTGACTCATGTCACTTCGCTCACTTTCAATAGCCAGAAAAAAAAAAAATCACATGGCGAAGACTGACATCAGAGAGATGTGGAAGCACAAATTTATATCTAGGAGAAAGGATAAATTTACAAACAATAATAGATTCTATCATTCATCTCCTCTCCTCTGGTGATTAATATTTGCTTTCCTTCTCCCATATACACAATGTATTTATCCTTCCACAGGGGAGACCCCAAAGTCCTGTGCAGTCTTGAAACCAGCCTCAAAGTCCTGGGTCTTGTGATCCTCTATACTGAGTCATGATGTGACTCCTCTTCCTCCAGAGACTTGCAAACTAACAAAACAAAACAAAATAGAATTACATACTCACTCCCTCCCATCTATACTCAATATTCAGTGATAGATCAGAAATAGGATAAGTGTAACAGACATTTCCATACAGAAAAGGGACGACTGGGAGCAAGAATAGTCATGGTTCCATAAAAATGCTGAAATCATGTTGGGCAAATATTGCAAAAGGCCCTACAACTATTAGGTCTCTTGTAGTCATGTTCATGGCCCCTTGGGCACTGTGCTGTTCTGACGTGTTGGTCATCTTCACGTCTGTGTGGACCACCTCTGTACCATGGCCACACAGTGATTTCCTAGCCAGGTGTCTCTGCTCCTTTGCTCTTATTAATCTTCTGTGAGAGAATTTCAGGATTAGTCTCTTTTACTTGTATCTTCCTTTTTTCAATGGAAAGGATTTACTGGGCACCATCCTGATTGGTCCTTGCAACAAGGTTGAGTTTATTTTCCTCTAATAGTTTCCTGTAGGTGTAACTTTCATACTGTATAATTCTGCCCTTATTAAGGGTGCAATTCCATGATTCTAGTAAATTTAACAGTTTCTTGAATCTAATTTTATTTTATTTTATTTTTTTTAAGAGTTGGACTACTTTTTTATTAAAGTAAATAAAATCCAAAACTTTTGAATTTAAGTCCACCACATTACAGTGTATGCAACTTTTCCAATTATTTTTTTTTATTGGTTGTTCAAAACATTACAAAGCTCTTGACATATCATATTTCATACATTTGATTCAGGTGGGTTTTGAACTCCCAATTTTACCCCAAATACAGATTGCAGAATCACGTCGGTTACACATCTACATTTTTACATAATGCCCTATTAGTAACTGTTGTATTCTGGTACCTTTCCTATCCTCTACTATCTCCTGAATCTAATTTTAGAGCATTTCTATCAGCCTAAAAGTCCTCCTCATGCTCATTTGTAGTCAATCCTTATTCCCATCCCTGGTCCTAGTCAATTTCTAATCTTCCTCGCTCTATCAATTAGCCTTTTCTAGACATTTCGTGTAAGTAACATCATTTAACATGTAGTCCTTTGCATATGGTTCTTTCACTTAGAATGATGTTTTTTGAGATTCATACATGTTGTAGTACATATCTATAATTTATTCCCTCGAATTGCTAAGCGATGTTCCAATGTATAGTTATGCCACATTTTATTTATCTGTTCAACAGTTGATGGACATCTAGATTGTTCTAAGTTTGAGTCTACCCTCAATTTGAGTCCCCCAAGTCCTTATGAATAAGGAAGCTACAAACATTGAGTATATGTCTTTGTATGAATTTGTTCTCATTTCCCTTGGGAAGATCCCTAAGAATGGAGTTTATGGTTCTTATGATGAGTTTATATTTCATTTTTTAAATAAAGGTGCCAGTTTTCCATTCCCATTAATAGTGGATGAGTGTTCTTATCTACCTATACCATGAAGCTGAGTTTTAATCAGTCCTTATGACTCAAACTTCTCAGTTTTATTGTTTCGTTATGAGAAGATTGGCTCTTTCAACTCTCCAAATCCCTAAATTTTTGCACACTTCTTGTTTATTTGTTTGTTTTATTCCTACTAAATTTTGTCTAGTTCTTTTCTGAGCTTGTTTCTTTCTTTAGGACCTTGTTAGCCATAGCTAATAGCAACCAAAGCAGGCAATTAACATTCTGAGTTTCAGTCCCTTCTCTTAAAGCCATATGCTGATTCAGTCCGTCATCTGCCTTCCAAATTAATGCAGGCGACAGTTTACCCGATGCCTCATCACTTCAAACATCCATCACCTCTTTTCAGCCTTTGGTAACAATCTCCTTGACAGCTGGCCTAAAGATAGTGGGTTCTTATTATACTGCCAGACCACCTTTGATAGCAATTTCTATATTAATTAGGATAAAAAAGTTGTGCTCTAGTTACAAATGTTCCAGAATCTGAGAGGGTTATAAAAACAAGTTTTTCTCCCCCTACCTCCATCCATGCTACAATCAGCTTTCTGTTACTGTAACAAATACCTGCAATAATCAACTTGTAAAGAGAAAATGTTGATTTGGGCTCACAGTACTAGAGATCCAGTCTGTGTTGGGTTGGCCCTGTTACTTTGGGCCTGTGGTGAGGCAGCACACCATGGTGGGAGTCCATGTGGAATAAAACTGCGCACCCCATCACCAGTGAGCAAAGAGAAAGAGGAGGAGGCCAGGGTCTCCTTCAAGAGCATCCCCAGGACCCAAAGCCCTCCCAGAGGACTCCACCTTTTAATGGCTCTACCATCTCCCAATAGTGCCACCCTGGGGACCAAGCCTTTAACGCATGGACCTCAGATCAGAGCCGCACATCCATCCTGACAAGCCCTGCCTGTGCTTCACATCATCTGTGCTGGAGATCCCAGGGTGCTGGGCTTACCCTGTGCAGAGCCTTGTTGTCTTCTGAGAGAGGGAAAGGAGAACATGGTGAATCATGCGCTAACTCCTAAGGCCTCCTCACACACTGGATTAGTCACCGCAGGTTATGTGGCCAATCCTGACATCAATGGGGCAGGGAAATATAATCTTCCCCTGGGGAAGGGCAGCAGATATTGTGAACAATAGTATGAGTGATGACATTATGCTTTTTTTTTATTGTTTATATCCTGGGGACCAGAGAAGAGAAAAAGCTTTCTTTATATGGCAGCTTTACCCAAGGTTGCCTAGAATTAGGGTAAGTTGGGGGCCTTTCAAAATGCCTTGTAGACCAAGGATTTGGATTCCCATGGATGTTGGCCCCTAGCCCCATGGCTTTCATGTGCAGAATAGCTGCCGTTCCTCTTTCTCTGCCAGCAATTTGAGTCCCCCAAGTTGCTCAAGGAGAGATTTGATTGGGGGGGGCTGTCTTTTCTAGAGTTTGCTCCTCAATGTCCCACACCTTCTGGGGCCTTTGTAAATTCATTTTCTTGACTTCCAGCTTTAGTTGAACCACTTTCGTTTTTCCTTCCTAGCTGTCTTCTGGGGAGACATTGCTTTGGATGAAGATGATCTGAAGTTATTTCACATCAACAAGGCCCAAGACTGGACCAAGCCATCAGTGGAGGAGTCGGGTCACAGCACGGGTAAGTACTGATTCCCATTCTCCTGCCCCAGCTGGCAGGGATGGGGGCTCCAGCAGAGGGAATGGGGTCACAGGTCTTTGATGTCTGACTGTAGGTCCAGGGAAAGCCAGGGACAGGTTACCCTTCCTTCTCTAGGGAAGAAGTGCAGTGGGGCCTCCAAGTTGGCGGGTTCTTCTAAGATGTCTCCACTTGTCTCTTTATCTGAGGGTGTAGGCTAGAGCTCTGTGTTGGTTCTTAGGACTCTGGCCAGGGGTCCTCCTTATCCCAGACTGGAAAGAGTTGCCCATTGGACTGGTTTAGGGCATGTCCATTGAAAATGTTAAGAATGACCACCCAGGGGGAGATGTTTGCCCGCAGGGTATTGTGTGCCTGTTTGGCTGACAAGCCAGGTGATAGTCACCTGGGGCCCAGACACCACCCAGCCTTCAGACTCTGGTTGCCTTCTCCCTCCTTGCTGCCCACCTTAGGTGAATACTACTGAGACTGGTCTTCTGGGTTCTCCTCACCTCCCTGCTCACTGGGTCAATGGCCTTGGCTTTGTGGCGTCTTAGACATAGTCCAGGGAGCTGAGTATGGAACTGGTGTCTGAAGTGGCAGGTGATAACCTGTTATTTGGTGACCGACAGGTAGGAGGCACCTGTGACCCTTTTTTCACCTTCCCTTCCTTTTTGAGCACCTTCCTGGGCCAGCGGTGGTGCTGTGGAGGGAAAGAGGAGACGATGCAGCTGCTGCCTTTAGGGAGGCTGGTGTGGATCTGGCCCAGCTCCCTGTACAATGGGGATGAGACCAACCTCATGCCATAGAGGTTTGGGGGAAGGACTCCAGAGGTAACAGGCTGCCCATGGCCTGGCACATAAGATCTCAGGAAAGGGCAGGGATTTTACTAAGAAACTCCTCTGGCAATGTGTAAGGAACCAAGGGCAATAGGAAGAGAGAAGGGTGAGCAGAGCCTGGCATCCTGTGAATGGCACCCTTGCGTTGTGTCCTGAAGGACAAGTAGGAGTCCCTAAGTGGGAAAGGGCATTTTGGGTGGAGGGGAAGCCAGGTATAAAGACAAGGAAGGTAAGAGGTACTCTCTTTCTTGGGGGGCCTGGGATAAGGCATAGGTCCCTGGAGGGTGGCCCTTTGAGGTGGGCCTGTGGGAGATGTATCTGGCTGGGTTGGACTGGGAGGGGCTTTTCTGATCAGTCAGTGAACTCGGGCTTTACCTGTGGGCTGCAGGGCTCCTGCCCTTTCTGAATAGGTTTGTGTAGGACAGAGTGCCTTGGGAGAATCCCCTCCCCCACTGCTCTCCTGAGCTAGGTTCCTGGCTGGAACCTGGGCAGCCTTGCCATGCTGATTGCTGGTGATGGGGACAGGGTGTATCAAGCAACCCCTTCCCCAGCTGCAGATGGACTTGGTGACATCCAGGAACATCCCTGAAGCTTGGAGGGATGAAGGTGGGAATGTGACCAGATTGGGGCATTGGGAAGGGAGGGTGGTGACTTCTATGGTTCATGAGGAACATGAGCAGCTAGAGGGACCAAAGCTCTGCACAGGGCCTGGTGGGTGAGGGGTCAGGGTTGTCAGGAGGTCAGGGGGAACATTGCCAGGGACTGGGGAGATGGAGGTCCCCTTAGCCACACAGACCTTCTTGGTGGCATCCAGTTCTATGACCAGTGTTCTTAGAATTTCTGAGGCCTCTTTCATATGATTTGGAGTCTTAAAATTTGACATGAAGTTTTAAATTATTTTTCTTAACAGTACATCCACAGTCTTAATTGAGCTCCACAAAAAAGGAAAAGTCTCTTCATAATTCTACCAGCTACCATGCCATCAAATCACTCTTCTCTTGCTTTTCCCAGAAGCCTAGAGAAATTAACCTCACTAGAGTCTGTGTGGTTAAGATGTTTTCTTAAACTTTTCATGTTGCAGTATTACTTAAAATTAGTGAACTTCACATATCTCAAATGTACATTATAATAAACTTTTATGTAAGTAAATGCCCCTGTAACTACTACCCAGGCCAAGATGTGGAACATTCCAGGGCCCAGAAGCCTCCTTTCCCCCAGTCAGCTCTTGTTCTAAAGTCACCTCTAGTCTAACCTTCATCACCAGACTCATTTTCCCTGCTTACAGGGACCCTATAGCATGTGTTTTTCTGTCTTCTTTCACTCAGCTTTATGACTGTGAAGTCCTCCCATGTTGCTAGGTGGTATTCTATTGTGTGAGTGGACCCTGGCTTCTTCATTATGTGACAGACATTTGGGCAATTTACAGTCTTTGGCTATGAGAAATAAAGCTGCTGTTGACATTCTTATACGTATCTTTGGTAGACACGGAATCATTCATTGCTGCTGGCCACGTACCAAGGAGCCATGGCGGGTCCTAGGGTATACTAGTTTAGCATTAGAGGAAACTCTCAAACTATTTTCCAAAGTAGTTGTACCAATTTACACTCCACACCAGTACATATTTGCTTAGAAAGCAGGAATGATGTTCACACAGGGTCTGTGAAGGCCTCTGGTCTTGGGCTTCCCAGCTTGGGCCTCTTTTTGCCCTCTGGGCCTGAACAGCGATCAGGTGATGTCCATTAGTCATTGCAAATGCTCAGACTGCTCCTAGCTGCTCTCTGGCACAGCTTAGGAGCTCAGGGTTGGCAAATATGAGTGAGAGGCACCAGAGAGAGACTGGGTGGTGGTCAGCCACCATGCCAGCTGTATTCCCAGCTGCTGGAGAGACCCTGTTAAGGAAGTTCTCCTGAGGATGCCATGGCAAAGGGAAACCTAACGCTTCGCCTGTCACTGCACTTCCTCTGGCTGGATGTGAAATGTGGTGGTGGAAGTTTCTGTCTTTTTCCCCCTTGAGGTGATAGAGGGCAGAGGCTGCATCACATTTAGCTTTGGACTCCGGAGAGGTAGGCCAGCTGTTTTAACTTAGAAGGCAGTGGCCAGATTGGTGAAGACAAGAAGAGGTGGACAGAGATTGCAGACCTTGGAACCTTCTTCCAGAGCATGAGAGGAAACCAAAAACTCCGCACATCTGGGAAGGACGCTTAGAGAAAAATGGTCACAATCACAGCCTTAGAGTTACGCTGCCTGGGCTGAATTCTTGAGCTGGATCTTAGTTTCTTTATCTGCCAATGGGAATAGTAATAATACCTACCTCAGAGTGATGTTATGAGGACAAAAGAAAAAAATATGTGCAAAGTGCCTGGCACACAATAAATGCTCAATAAATAGCAACGGATATCAATAAATATCAACAGTCTTCTCATTCCTATTAACATTTCTAGAAAGAAGATGAATCAAAGAGGGTCTAGGATGAAAGTGGGAAGTGGAGATTTGCTACGTGTGGAGGGAATGTGGGGGCTTGGGCACGCATCTTGAAAACATAGACCTGGTGTTTCCTCCTTCCCAAGCTAGTTATGTATTTTTTTTTCTTTTCAGTGTGTTTTTAGGGCAAGGTAATTTTTATCCTGATTGCTTTTCTCTGCAGGCCAATAGGACTTTGCATCTATTTAGAATAGTTATTTTATTTTCAGAATGGGAATATGTTTTATTGTTTGGGCTGATTAAACTAATACCACTTGTAAAAAAAATAAAAAGTTCAATAGCTCATAATTGTATAAAGCATAAAGGGAAAATCCCCTGTTATCCCAGCCTCAGGGATCCCTATTAGTAGTTGCTGCATTTTTCCACTATTAATGTGCGTGGGCCACATGTGCAAATATGTACACATTTGTATGCATATATTTTAAACATAAAAGAGATACCTACTTTTTAAACATAAGAGATTTTACTGAACATACTCAGTGTAGTCTGTGCTTTGCTTGACACCGCATTGTGGATCCTCTTTCCTGCAGTACCTTGTGATCTCTCTTATTATCCTGTGGCTATAGTGGTCCATTGTGTAGTTCTGCCACACTTCATCTCACTAAGCCCTTACATGTGGATGTGAAGGTTGTTTGTCCCTTTTTTTCTAAAAAAAAAAAAAAAAGTCTTCTTAAGAAGGAGCCATACCTTGACCCCCTCTTCCTCCATCCAAATGAGCAAAAGATGCCTTCCTAGACAGAGGGTACTGCATTTCTGAACTTTGGTAAAAGCCCCTGTTTCCTTTGTTTGGAGGCTGGGGAAGGGAGCTCAGGGAAGAGGGCTGAAGTCCCTCACAGGGATGTGGGGGAAGGGCCCAGAAACTTCAGGGCCTCCTTTCCTGGTCAATGCTATGAGCTGAGCTACTTCCCTGGCTGAAGAATGAAGTTGTCATTTTCCCTAGATGTGGCCTGGTCAGCCTCATTTCCAGCATTCCAAGTTCAGTCAGTGGCAGAGTCACACTAGAGTCCGATTTCCCAACTCCCAGGTTGCTGTCCTCCACAATGTACCAGCCTGCCTGCCATATTGCCAGCTGGAAGGAACAGAAAACCACCTGGAAGTAGGCTGAAATGTGGGTGAGCAAAGACCCTGGCCTGGTTTAGGAGCCCACTCAGGGGTTGCACTGGGCACAGAAGAAGCCACTGAAGGCTTTGGGGCTCCCAGCAGGGGGCACCATTCTATTCACTTAGGGGCAACTGTTCTGTCCGTATCAGTGCCTCTAATCTCTCTTTCCCCATCCCCATTATCTTCCTGTTAACATTGCAACAATTGTGGGTGGAATAGCACCCCCTCCCCCCAAAAACTCTCACCTAGAACCTCAAAAGATGACCTTCTTTGGAAATAGGGTTTTTGTAGCTCTAATTAGATCGTTAGATGAAATCATCCTGGACTCAGGCCCACCCTAAACCCAGTGACTGAAATCCTTATAAATCCAGAAAGGCACAGGGAAGAGGCCATGTGAAGATGGAGGCAGAGACTGGAGTTTGCAGCTGCAAACCAAGAACATCAAGGATTGTCAGGAGCCACCACACCTAGGAAGAGGCAAAGGATTCTTCCCCAGAGCGTATAGAGGGAGCACAGCCCTAGCAGCCCCTTAAATTTCAGACTTTTAGTGTCTAAAATTGGGAGAGAGTGGAACTGTTGTTGCCA